AGTATAGCTGTTTTGCATGAAAACTACAGCTTTACGGCCTTAAACCATCCTAATTTTAATCATGTATAAAAATCAGGATACATGTCATCGCTGATTGAAACCAACATGAAAAGGAACATCTAAGCAACCTGTTAATATTACCACTGATTCAGCATAGGACTCTAAAGCAATACCTAGGCTGTGTTCCATTTGGTGAATTTTCACTTAAATTTGAAAGATGGAAAATTTTTAAATAAACCTGCTATTCCAGCAAACTTATTTCTGACAGACAAGAAATCAATTTTGACAGAAACCTTCTCGAAAATCGGCCCATCAACAACAGGTGGATTTCCAAACATCTTAATTAATGTTAGAAATGTCTAATTTAAGTGAAAATTTACCAAATGAAACACAGATCTAAAATCCTAGCGGCGCCGGATGTGTACTGGTAAGCGTGATTATCTCTCACCCCAGCAGGCCTGGGTTCAATCACAGTCGGCGCCGCCGGGATGTTCTGAGGCATAACATCTCTGATCACGCCTTCCTTCGGATGGGAAGTAAAGCCGTTTGTCCCCGGTTCATGAGTTGATGGGTCGATAGGTAGGGTCCAGGTGTGGGAGCTGCCTCCCTGGCGTCGGTAGCATTGGTGCTCAGCACGGAAAACAAGATCGACGGAAAACAAATCAAGGCAAAATCCCATAGACCAAGCGTCAAAATCGAACACATGTTGGATTGATGTGTGCCATTTGGTGAATTTTCACTTATATTTAAAAAATGGGAAATTCTTAAGCAACCCATTTTAACAAACACCTTCTTGAAAATCGGCCAATCAACACGAGATAGATTTTCGAACATTATAATATATTTTCGAAATTTCAACATTAGATGAAAATTCCCCAATTGGAACACACCCGAAAAAAAATAACAACAAAAATACATTAAAAAACAATGTAACAATAAGACGAAAATTATTGTCTTAACAATGATTTATATTGTTACGTCTACAATAAATTTACCTTGATTTATGTTGTACAAAACAATAAATTTCATGGTAAATGGAAAATTTACAATAAAAAAGGGGGGTTGTTAAGTATCTTAACAATGAAATTTTCATGATTTTCCCATATAATTTTTTTTCAATAACATTATATATTATTGTTATTTTACTGTTGGTTGGCGAATTTATTGATTAAAAAAAATAACAGTGTACTTTAGAGTGTATGTGTTGGCTTGACAGATCTACTTTATCGACTTTAAAAATAAATCGAAAAAATAAAACATTGCCCCGGGAAGGGAAGGGGGGGGGGGTGGTATGTCTGTTACGGGTGGTCCTTTTTTTTACTGGTTATGGATCGAGATTCGATCCGGAACTTGTGAGAAATGCAGGCCAACTCCCCTGCGCTCGATATCCCTAGGTCACGTCTCCTTGGTGGTTGAGCGTCGTTGATAAGTTAATGCATTCGACTGGAGAGAATCGCCCATGAAATATGCTTCCACCTGAGAGTTCCTTCCTGACATCTTCAAGTGGTGGAATTTTTTATTATTATTGTATGATTATTGACTGCACGGAAAAGGTCTCCATTAAGCTTTAGAGAGGGTCTAGGATAAGATATGAGTGGACGCGGACTGCCTGGTTTTGAGCCAAACGAACTGTCAAAGCCAGAGCCATACGAGCAGCGCCTATCTTAATTACATTGGCAGTGTTGCTGACCCTCTCATAGTCTGCATGCTTCAATCAGATTTATTTTTATTGTTCGTGAAGTAACCCACAATGAAAATACACCAATATTTAATGTAACAACAATTTTTATTGTTCATGATCGAATCATGTTAACAATAAAATAAATGAAAAATACGATAAAAATCATTGTAACAACATTTTATTATGTACATTCATTGTACAGCTAGGTAGCAGTTTTGCCGTTTTCGGAAGAGTACAACATTATAACAATCATTTTTATTGTCGACAATAAATATTAATGTTAGAGCATTGTTTCCACTGAAAATTTCACTGTAATTTTTTTTTTCGGGCAGTCTAAAGCTCTAACACCACTAACAGGTAGATAATATTTCCCCCTATTTGATGGTAGGGTTAGTATGCTTGGGCGAGCTACGTCAAATCGATTATCAAATGCATTGTTTACAAAAGCTGCTACGTCCCTTCGAAAACGTAATCGATATTTGGTGATTTTTTGACACTGCGAGAGTAAATTATAATGTTAGAAAATCTCCTGTTGTTGACCATCCAAATTTCAAGGAATTGTTTGTCAAAATTGATCCCTGGTTTGTCAGAAATAAGTTTAGTAGAATAGCAGGTTTATTTAGAAAAAATCATCCGTCAAATTTAAGTGAAAATTCACCAAATGAACCACAGCCTAAATGTAGGGGGGTTGACAGTTGTAGTATATTCACCGACAAACCGACATGAATGATCATACAAATTACAAAAAAAAATCTGATCAAAGCACAACACTGACATCTGCGGAAAATATGTATCCTAGCCACGAACACGCGTACAAAATGCATGAGTTGGTTCGTGTCTAATCTATTTCAGACAAATTATTTTTATTTAGATAAAACGTTTCTATGGTTTTGACAGATGGGATCGCTGCACATTTGAATCGGCCATTATGGATTCTCGATCAAGAGTTAAGTTTAAGTTTCATGTCGGTTTGTCGGTGGTGTATTCCTGATCCCACAATTGAATGGCATTTGCTATATAAGATGAGGTTGCGACATAATTAAACAAATATTCTCTGCACACGACGCTCTTTGAAAACAATTTTATAAATATGTTACTGAAAAAAAATACAAATAATAAAAAGGAGGACATTTTCGGGCAAAAGGAGGATATGTCCTCCTTTAGGATACCATATGGTAACTGAAAGTATTTGTTTCAAAACAGCAGAAAATTTGTGATAAGTCTATGACAGTTTCGAGATCACTGAAATAGAAAAATCTAGACAAATTTAAAAAATCAAAATATATGCAACTATTCTTGTCAGACTTTGCACGCTAATTTTAAATAAATCTTTTTACCACCAATTAGTCACTAAATTAACCATTGATTTGATGTGGTTTTAAAGGCAAATTCTTTACTCTCAACGTTGGTCGAAAAAAGTGACGAAATTTGAAGAAATAGTAACTTTTAGGTGAAAAAAGTTACGTTTTAGTGACGTACTTAAAATAGTGACCTAGCCACTAAAAAGTGACCTGCTATCAGTCCTGTCTAAGTTCTTCTTCTTCTTATTCGCATTTTTCAAGCTTATTGCTTATCTCATATTAGCTTATTGCGTGCTCTCAACTTAGTGTTCTAAATGCACTTTCACAGTTATTAATTGAGAGATTTCGATGCCAATACCAATGCATGAATTTGAATATTGTGTGGCAAGCACAATGATATTCTATGCCCAGGGAAGTCGAGAAAATTTCCAACCCGAATGATTCCCTCGACCGGATCGGGAATCGAACCCGCCGCCTCCGGCTTGATAATACCGTGCCTTTACTGACTAGGCTATGAGTCTAAGTTACTTATTCCTGAAAATATAGTACAATTCAAGGATCTTGAAATTTTGTCTTGGACCAGTATTATTTTTTGGAAGAGAGGACAAAGCATACTTTTCCCCTATTTGTCATCGAAATTCACGGGTATTTCCCGGTTACTTCAAATAGCCGTTTTTATCGTTCGTGGTTAGTGAAAAATACACAATTTGTTTACTAAACTTTTTAGGTACAATTTGGTCATCTTGCAGCAAATTTATAGTTGTGTGGAAGTTTTAGCTTGAATAAAATGATTAGATTTGAGCAGATTAAAAAAAAAATAAACGTTGTTAAAAACTTATCCCATTATTTCTCTACGTATTTTCATTCAGCAGCTATAAATTAAATTCCCGATTTTTTCTGATGAAAATAAAATCCCGACTTTTCCCGGATTTCCAGGTTTTCCTGCACTGAAAACGAAACTAACTCAGAGAGTGAGTCACTTTTACTCATTCGTATGAAAAAAATTCTAAAAACATAGGTCACCCAGCGCATGAGTAACCAACCATACGAATGAGTAAAAGTGACTCACTCTCTAAGCAAGATTCGTTCGGTTCACTTGACACCCTGGGTTTACCACCAGGTAAATCGGTGCAAAAAGTCTTCTTTTTAATGCAAACGTTATTAATAACTCGGAAGCTCACCAAACTGACGTAACTAGAGTTGTGTGTATCTTGTGTCCACTATAATTCACGCAGTAACTACGCAATCCCCGACCAAAATGTGTAACTAAATCTAGATCTATAAACTCTGTTAACAACAAGCCGGTCCTCAACGATAAACGTCTGTTGGTTGGATGGTGGTCCAACTTTGCGTCGCAAAAGAGGTGAACGTTATTTCCGTTGTTTACTTGTATCTAGCGATTTCTAGTTCAAATATGAGTGGGCCCACCGTAACAGCTGACCATGTTTATTGTATAAATTATAATATTTACAACTAAATATACAGACGGACACACACACGTGTACCAGATGTGCACGTTGAGCTAGGTACTTGTGCACAAATCTTGACTCCCTTCCAGAAAGCAATTTCAAATCTGTTTCCGATTAGCTGATGCAATAAATGGGTATGGGTCATCGAAATATTTTGAGAATTGTAATCCATCCGCTGATGCTTCGTTTGTTATGTTTCTAACTTTCCTCGTCATCACATATCGTGACTATTCGATTCATGCTGCTATAACAGGTCTTGAATAGCAGTGGCAGGTGCCAAGAAGATCTAAAGCATACGTATAAGAGCCACAGCCAGCATCGAAAAGCAGGACAACGAATTTTTATTTTTAGAATCACTGGTATTGGCGGTTGTGCGGTTTCATCAGGTCGAAAGAATAAAGACACGGAAGAGCCCTCTGTTTCGTGTACGATTGCGACTTGCGTCGTCATAGGAAAACAGACAGTGCACTTACACTGATTCTGATGTCTGTCAGTCACAACGCAAACCAAGATGGATTGACTGCTCAAATAAAAGTATAATTTACTCACTTCGTAATGCATCTTTCTGAACGTGGAACAGTTGAAGTAGAGCTTGTCGTAGATCACTTTGTGTATTCCTTTCTTCACTTTGTACACATAGTTGACGGACATTATTTCTGCTGTACACTTGTACGGGAGCTCCAGCCGACCGTATCCTTGAATTTACGATTTACTATGTCTGCTTTTCATACTAGATTGAATTTCACTAAAGCCAGGCCCCGATGCTCCGTCAACATGAAATGTGGTAAGCAAAAAAACCGTCACGCACTTTCGGTGCTTCTTCTATGAACGATCTTCGTCGATGCCTTGTCTTGTCTTGGAAAGGCATTCACTTTTCACTACAACTCCCCTCTGTATACGGTTCGTTGCACTTGAGGTTTTTCTTTGCCTTGGGAGGAAAACTTACAACATACACACAGATCACCAAATTGCGCTGTATCTTCAATGAGAACTTGAGATTGCAAAAAAAAAATGCATACAATCAATACAAGATAACCGATCAAAATCTCTTAGCTGACGATTCTAGAATCTGAACATGGCACAAATTACACTGAATACACACTCAAGCAACATCCTGGCCGAGATTTCAAAACACAAATAGACTCGTAAGTTTACAATTTATTTACCAAACCCGTCGTGGGCAATCAACATCAACATGGACCAGTAAGAATTTTGGTTCGCACGTTTGCACGAGACAGCGCAGCCGCTATTCTTCAATGGACCGACCGCTTCGGGCAAAGTTGTTCGAAAAACTGAACTGACTCCACCGTACGACGCACGCTTGGCTGCCTGCCTTGCCTGCCTGCCTGTCTGCCTGCCTGCCTGCCTGGGGTCGACCGTGCCCGTGTGGTTCATTCAAAAGAAGCGAGCGAGAGACTCTCACTATACACACCAACCGACCTACCTACTATTGGCGTGGTGGAATGTGCATATACGACATACGACGCTTATTCATTCCGAGCGGATGGTTCAATCCCCGACGTAACCGTTCCTAAATACCTCTACTTGGAGGTATCTACTTGGAGAAAAAGGAAAATGTAAACGGAGAAGATGTGTAACACGAAACAAATACCTACAAACTTACGGAATGTTCGAGAGAGATGACTAGAGTACTGCTACCGAATGTAATCAAGTAACAATCAGAGCAGCAACTGGTTTGTTGTGTTTTTGAACGGAAATGAATCAATCTTTGCACGAGATGAAGTAGCGAGGAGAACCAGAGTGATAATTTTTTCTGTAACATGTTAACTGCCAAAATGAGCATATCATATTTAATCCACCAGAATCTTATATATAAACGAATTCATTTTTTCTTATTGATTTAAGCTGGTATTGGTAAATTTGACACTTCTTAAATGAATTAAGATGTTCAAAAAATCCTCTGTTGTCGATGGGCCGATTTTCGAGACGGTCTCTATCAAAATTGATTCCTTGTCTGTCAGAAATAAGTCAGTTGGAATAGGAGATTTATTTGAAAGTTTCCATCTTTCAAATTAAAGTGAAAATTCACCACAGCCAATGCTAAAAAATCAAATCAGAAAATATAAGAAACAAAATCAAATTTACATATACCACGGGCAAATCTAGATTTTAAATGAGACATTAGTAGGGCATTTGTTGATTTTTCAGGTTGGAACCAGTTCCAATCCGTGCGAACCCGAGATTATTGTCAGTTCGAAGCTCAACCCGAGCCAGGTTATAAAAACAAACGTTCACTTGACGTTTGACAGATACCAAGCAGACCTAATCTTGTTATGACTGTAGTTATCCTGAAAATCTAGTCCAGTCCAAGGGTCTTGACATCTTATTGTTTTCGAAGAGAAGACGCTCCAGCTTTTTCCGGTTTTCCTGGTTCACTGGTCACTCTGCATTTCACATATGTACCACTTGTTTTTAATCCCGTTATATTTGTTTTGTCTGGGTCTCAACTCCGTAAGAAAATTATTCCGGATGCTTAACCAAAAGCTAATCGGCGGCCGGATTCCTCCGGTGGGAAATAGTAAAAACAACGCTTTCATCTCCAAAATTCTGTTAGTTAGTTCTATCTCAATTGCAATAGCAGCTACATTACCATACTGTGAAGCTAATTTTACACACTAAGATTTTGTTTCCGTGTTCGGTAAATTTTACCGAAATCAGAACAGCTGAAAATTCGGTTAAACTTTTACCTTCATTTTAAAGGTTATTGAATTTGAAAATAATATCAAAACATGTTCAACCTTGCTTAAATGATCAAATCTTGTCATTTTAGGGAAATTTAGTTTCAAAGTTGCTGAAAAGCAATTGAATTGAATTGCATAAATTTTACCGAAAAGTTCAGCTGTTCAGATTTTGGTAAAAATTACCAAAGTCGGCGATAATTTCTAAGTGTGTACGAGCTAACCAGGTTTACAATGAATACTTAATACAGCCACTGTATGCTGACAAAGCAATGCTTGTCTACGTATTTTTGAATCATTATTCAATCATAAAAGTGCTTCTCCAAGCAATAAAAAATCCTCCAAAGCAAGACCATTATCCTAAATTCTCATTTAGTTAGTTCTCTGAGCTAATCAAGTTGTTAAGAACACAATAAGAAACAAGAACTAGAAGTATTCAGAAAAAAAAATCATTATCTTCTCTTAAAGCTTGGTTTAGACAAGGCAAGTCAATTGATCAACTCAGTTGAATTCAACTGACTTGAACGTGTAAACTATGACATTTAACTGACTTGAATTGAAAAAAAGTTTAACCAGGCTCAACTTTTCAAGCCAATTGAATTCAACTGAGCTGATCAATGACTTGCCTTGTCTAAGCCCAGCTTAACTCTTAATCATTCTTGCATTTACTCAAAAGCGCTCCAATACGCTCAAGGGATTGATTTTTGTTGGACACAGCTGGATCGAGCAAATTAAATTGAAAATCATCCACAAACTACAACGAGTAATTAAATTGATTGAAACTACCGAAGTCAGCCCATACTTATTAATATGTTTCTATTATAAAGAAATATTTCCCTGACTTTGATTAACCGAGAATTTCATATGAAAAGGGCTTATATCATTAGAAAATAATATTATTGATTATATTGTCTACTACTGAGGTGAAATCCGATACTACTGTAGCAACTTAGCATTCTTAGCTAAAAGACACAGACAAACAGACATAACACTCGCAAGTTGTTCATCGAACAAGCATTTAACCGTCAATTTAAAAGTATCGTAGTTGGTAGTACCGCCACCTGTGGCGCGCATAGTCAATTCCCTTGTGTTTGACGTTTACACACTACCGCCATCTGTTTAGCGTAATACCCACCACAGTGTACTCAACAGATGGCGGTTATGTTTTAGCGACGATGTTTTACAGTGAGAAATATTGAATGTGTTATGTCTCTTTGTCTGTGCTAAAAGTATCCATAAAGCATGATTTCATACATATCAGCAGCCAATCTGGTAACAAAAGTTGTGAAGACAAGTTTTAGTAAAATTATTATCATGGACCAAAGTAATAAATCAAGGCTCAAAGGATTGAAATGCTGTGCAAATATGAACAATCTAAAAATGATAGATTTTATTAAAAAGTATCCATAGAAGAACGCGAAGAGCTGCAATTTAATTCTAAGGAAAATTCCATGGTGAGAAGAAAATTCAAAATATTACTTAAGCATATTTACATAACAAATGTGTTAATATTTCTAAGGGAATTCGAAATAAGCCTACATCTAAAAATCTCCTAAATAAAGTTTGAAAAAAAACATGAGAATTCTGAGAGCATTCCAAGATAATTCCGAGAAGACACTCAAATGGAGATGAAAAGTCTGTTTCATTTAGAATTTGGCCGCACAAAATAGGTCATTTCTCCAAGGGGAAATAAAGTACAAAAATGCTAAAGGTATCATTTTGTAGGATTTTTATTTAGCTTTAAGGTGATACTCTAAGGAAGCCTTAGCGTGAAACTTCAAAGGGACAAATGTCAGCTTCCACAAAACATACAAATTTGAAATTGCTACTCTCTGTTTGTAGTAGCACAGCAAACAAGGAGTAGCAATTTCAAATGTGTATGTTTTGTGGAAGTTGACATTTGTGCCTTTAAAGTTTCACGCTAAGGCTTCCTTAGAGTATCACCTTAAGGGAAAAATACAACAAATATTATTCGTCAACTTTTTTCGGATGAATTTTTGAACTTTTTGTGGAATACCTCTCATTATGACTTGCACAGTAGTACCAACAATCAATACGAAACTAACGATTTTAAATTGGCTCACTACTTGACTAGCCTATTGGTCCCAAGCAAATCGACTAACATACCCCATTCTTGTAAAAATTCCAGTACTACACTATGTTTGTTTTGATTCGCTATGAAAGTTTGACAGATAAAATGAGGGGTTAGTGGATTTTCCTATGTTTCGAGGGGTGAATCGATTAGCTTGGGACCGAAGATATTACCAGAGCTGAGCCAAAATGTTGAGCTCGTTTCTTCGGGACCTTCTGGTCTTAGAGTTACCTCTATGGTAGTACTGTCAACCTCATCTACCATCCTTTTCCACCACTTCTCTAAATCAGATGGTGTTTTGATTGTTTTGCCACATTTCTTCAATTTGCGCTTGATAATTGCCCAAAAATTTTCAATGGGACGAAAATCTGGACAATTTGGTGCATTGATATTTTTCTACTCAATTAAATCGACATTATTCTGCTTATACCATTCTATGACATCACGGCTGTAATGGCAGCTGGCTAAGTCAGGCCAGAACTTTACGGGACCTCCATGTGATTGAATGAAATTATGCTAAAAAATTATGCTCTGCAGACATTCCTCCTTGTAAAGTTGTCTAGTCGCTCCAGTGATGAAAACCTTTGTTTTCTTTCCGCAACTGTACATGGCTTGCCAAATCATCAACTTGCGAGCGAATTTATCTGCAAAGACAAATTTGAATTTATCCTGAGCATTCCGCTTACGTTTAGCAAAGTAAAATTTTTCTCCCGGGATTTGTCCAAAGTCCATTTTTACGTAAGTTTCATCGTCCATCGAAATACATCCGTTATACTTGGTCAGAACTTGCACGGTTTTTGGCAACCAGGTTTTGTATCAGCGTCCTGTTGGGATGTTTGCTGGCATGGTACGACCGGAAACCTTCTTGCATACAGATTCGCCGAAGTTTACTGTGTGCCGCACTGAACCTTTTCGCCAAATCACGACCGGAGATCCCAGGATTCTTTTGGACTGCCCTTATAACTTTGCTCGTAGTTTTCGGTCATATGTTCCACTTCTTCGTTTGTTTTGTTTTGCACGATCCAACGTTAGTGTTATCCGGTAACGTTTAAGCACGGTATTTACAGTCGATTTTTGGAAATTTGAGAGCCTTTGCAATTATTCCTCCTGACCACGTTGGATTTTGCACGTGAGTGTGCAGAATTTTTTCACGTCTGTCATGTTCCATCTTCGATAATTTTTAATACTACTAAATAAACAATCCTTCCGGATCAAAACGCTGTCAATAGTTGCTTGCTACGACAACTAGAGACGCTACAGTACTTAAAAAGAAGCGGCCAAATACTAACTGGAACAGACTTTAAGTATGATTACATTCTTCTTATTCGCATTTCAAGTTTATTGCTTATCGCATATTAGCTTATTGCATGCTCTGTTACTGCCACAGTAATTAATTGAGAGCTTTCGTTGCCTGTACCAATGTTGTATTAGTAGAGTTGTGGCAAGTACAATCATATACTCTATTCCCAAACATATGTACCCGAAAACCCGAAAAAATCCTAGACCGGACCGGGA